GCATGCAAAAATTGAATAAACAGAATTTTTCAAAAAAAAAAGAAAAAACAGTGACTGAGAGCTGTGAAAAAAGCTCAGCCATGAAGATGCTCATAATCACTTTAATAGCTAAAATAAAAAAAATAAACAACATTCATAAATAAAAAAGTCCAATGGTTGGAAATCAAGTAAAAGACACAGACACAGACCAAGGTTTAAACATTGATATCAGTTTATTTATCGGGATTCTGTACAGTGGACATTCTACTATAAAATGAGACCAAACAATGTGGAAAAAAAAGTAAATTATATACAGAAGGGAGGACAGATTTGATGTCAGCCTTCAGGCTGGGTTGCCACTGTTGCGTTGGATTAACACGATGGTTACCGTCAGCGCTCTCCCTATAATAAGGCAGCCTGAGGTGGTCACCTCAGGCGGCATTTCATTGGGTGGGCAGGAGGTGTGGGGTGGCAGAGGGCCAGCCACAGCGTCCCAGGGTGTTATGAGCTACCAAAGAGCTGAACGGGCGCTCCGGCTAGAGTCCCGCTGAGCTGCTGACAACCAGTGATGTCAATTAGCTGGGTGGGACCAGACAGAGAGCCGCTGAGCAAAGCCACACCTCCCCACAATAACTAGCATATAGTGCAGGGTTACCACAATGCACCCCAACACACCTTCCCAGCGCACCTGTGTTGCAGTACAAAGTATTGCACTACCATGCATTCTGTTGGGCTGTGTTGGTGGTGAATGCATGATTTCAAATGAATGGGCTGCCCAATGCAACACGAAACATAATGCTGGTTCACGGGCGTGCATTATCACAACTCACTCATGTGAATCCAGCCTTAGGTCCAGAGCACACGAATGTCAGACCCGGAAGTGAGTCAAATAGAGATATGTGAGAGCGGGCCTTTATGGGGATGTTTTATAAGTCATCCCCCCAGCCGTATGCTGGGCAAATGCCGTTCGCAATACATCCCAGCCACTAGATGGCACCGAGGAGGAGCTTCAGGAAATTCCTATTGGCCTTGGCTCCATCTAGTGGCGGGAATGGCATGCACACAACATTCACGAGCATATGGCTGGGAAATGATTATAAATGATCCCCGAAGAGTTTTCTGGGAACATTGGTTGCTTGGAGCTGCGATCACCGTGCATTTATATGCCTCTTCTCCTGAGGTTTTCTCTCTCTTCCTGTCCCGATGTCATGTCTTTGCTTGTTTTTTTTTACATTCGCAGAGCCCATTAAGGTTTGCATCCCATAGCAACCAGATTCCATTTCTTGGCAACAAGGCTGCCAGCCGATTTCTGATTGGCTGCTATGAGTTACAACACAAGTGCACCAATGGTTTCTGTCTGAAGTTACCCCGAGGTGGGGATGTAGAGCAAGAGGTAAGATAAAAAATGTGAAATCACAGAATGATAAATCTTAAAAATCTATTTAAATGTATATATATATATATACTGTATATACATGTTATCATGCTACATTATATAGGATGCTAGGAAGCAGACCCTGGGATTACCCAGCACCTCGGTATGGAGGCACTAACATTGTTTAATACTCAGGTGAAAAAGGGTTTGGCTTAGTTGTCTGTTCTTCCATCCCTTTTGAATGAAATCTGTTACACTCTGCAGTCAGCATAATGCTCTCTGATACAAGGGTTCAAGCTCTGATTCAGACCTCGGCAGAGAGACCACTGCTTGCCCACGGAGACCATAACCATGCTGGAAGAGGACAGGTCAAGAGGTACTGAAGGGCTGGACCAGGGGCGTCCCGAGGCCGGGTGTCACCCGGTCTCTAGACGGGGTGACACCCTGCCGTGTTGTCATTGGGCGTGCGCCATGACGTAATCACACATGCGCGGTCCCCTAATTGACACCTGCCTGCGGCCATCTTGGTGATGGACGCCGGCAGGGAGAGGAGGGGACGTTCACCCGGCTGGATGAGGTATGCCTCCTCTCTCCTGGCACTGCCGAGCTCTCGGTCCATGACAGAGTGCCCAACTTTTTAGAGGGGGTGACACCAAAATGGCTGTCAGTCATTATGGTGTCACTCCTGCAATGGTTTCACCCGAGTGCGGGCCGCACCTCCCTTGTGACGCCACCGGGCTGGACCAGTATGGCAGGAAGTGGACTGAAGGAGGTCAGTGATGGTGGCCTCCATCCTTCTTTGAATACAATGAAGAGATGGAAAACCAGTAATGCTCATCACCAGCATTTGAGTATTAAACATTCTTACTGAGTGGAATTCCCTGAGAGATATAAGACACCAGCATGCGGTCCAGCTTGTCAGCTGCCACACAAAACTGATACAGCCGCTTTTGGTTGGAATTGGCATTTGGGACATCCTCGAACCTTGACTCTACAGTTTCTATGTTGTTAAAAAAAAGTGAGAGATGTGGGAGAGATGAAGAGATGAGGGGTATGGGGGCTCTTCACAAAGACCTGTAGCTGACTGTACAGTAATATAGATCTGCTCCCCACACTGAGCATGGGTTTAAAGGACATCATGAAGAAGAAGAAGACACCATGGAGGTCCATCATGTGAGCAGAGCTGGAGTCCTTGGAGCTGGAGTCTTCTTCCGGTTCAGTCTTCGGTGTGCACCTTGACATTTGAAGGTGGCGTGTTGTGTTTGTAGGTTGGAGGAATCCTCTGGGGCTGGTTTGGTTTTCCCTACAGACCCAGAAGGTCAAAGGCTTCGTGTAGATCTTCCATATCATAGGGGGGCTGTGATGAGACAAAACGCAGCACAACGTGAGCAAGACCAGCACAGAAAAACAAAACACGGGAAAAGTGTTATTTATTTATAAGTGTTATTATTATTTACAATATGGACCCCGACCCAAAAGACTTTCTATTCAGATCTCATCAACAGGGGCAACTGACCTGCCGAGGACTTCCATCTGACCTGCATTTCACCTGCTTCCAGTGAGTTTTCCATTCCAATAATGGAAATGCATAACCCGCTGGATGTGAACAAAAAGCCATCAACAGCCGACCGGGGTCCTAAGACAGAGATCACCCTAACAGGGGGTCACCCCATTGAAGAAAGCAAGAGACATAATGGCTATCTATCTATCTATCTATCTATCTATCTATCTATCTATCTATCTATCTATCTATCTATCTATCTATCTATCTATCTATCTCTGTCTGTCTCATTATCTGTCTATTGACCATCTCCCACCCCCCTCTCATCCCACTCTCTCTCTCATTATCTGTCTATCGATCTTCTCCCTCTCTCTCTCTCTCTCTCTCGCTCTCTATCTATCATATCGGTCCATCTATTATTTGGCAGGTCAAATACAATAACGTTATTCCCGAGCTCCGTGTCATCAATCCACACACACATACCTGTAGAATACGCCGCAGTTTTCTAGACAATCGGACGAAGTTCTCGTGCAGTCCATCCCAAGCCTCAAATTTCCGCTCTCGGTTCTCCACAAAATTGTTCCAACAATAGAAATAATCTGTCAGAGAGAGAGAGAAATCCATTCATATTCCTGTTATTACCTCTGTGCAGGGGTGATGGTTGCTGTCCGTTTTCTGGACGGACACTTTATCTCAATCTATGTTGGTCTGCTCTATGGCAATGAAGGGCAGTCACTGTAATCTCTAGGAGCTGGTTGGGGTCAATGGAGTCTGCCAGCTAAAGCAGAACTCCAGTATTATCTAGCTGGGGTGGCACAGGGTGTAGTGACTCCGGTGATTCAACTTCTTTGGAAGAGAGTTTCATGTAGTGCATTCTCCTAAAGCAGGGAAACTGGGACTGTTGGGGAGGTTTGAACCAATAGGCCTTCCACAGCATTCCCGGTTTCTCATACGATTAATGCACAGTACCGTGCAACGCAACTACTGTGTTACAGTGTGGCAGGTGCAGGTGCGTTACAGTGTGGCAGGGGCACTGGCATTGCCATGGCACCCCATAGCAACCATAAATGAGCGAAGGTCGGCAATCGGCC